CTGCCTCTTCTCCTGTGGGCAAGGAATGAGGCAATAATAAGGGATAAACCCTCAAGAAATGGCAGAGATCACTGATGGTGTTGCCAGGAGAGAGAAGCTACAGAGTTACAGCTTTACTTTCAGAATACTCAAGGTACCTTTTCAAAATCCTGGAAATGGCTGGCTGCTCTGCAGCCCTGTCCTGTTGCTGAGACAACATGAGGGGGAGGCCCCTTCCTATGAATGGCAGCAACTTCCTCTTCCCTTCACTCTTATGGTTAATTCCCCCAAGATATTTGCCTGGGATATCCCTAGCATGGATCCCGCCTCTGGGCAGTTTGACCCATTGAGCATTATTCTCGTGGAAACAGGTGTCCCTCTGGGTTTTAGGGACCTACAAAAACGTCTGAGTCCTAAACATTTGACGATTAGTCCCACAATCCAAAGAAAACTGCCACATGGAAATCAGTAAATATTTAATTAAATGCAGAGTATAACATTATGTCAACTTCATTAACTGTTGAATTTAGTAGTCATAAAAATTTCATTGCATTTGGTAACAATTTGTAGGTTGAAGTTTTCTCTCTGTGCAAGATTTCTCGAGTGGGCACTAAGATTGGTGAGAAATCACAGCCCATCACAAATTAAATAAATTACTCATGGCCAAGAACTTTCAAAAGCAAAATGGCAAAAATCCTTTCAATTTTCTTCTATAGCCAAAAAGTTATTTTTATGGTGAGAGGTGGGTGTGTTTAAAATATGTTAGATGAGGAACCTAAAAGGACCTGCAAGAGTAAGCAGGCTCAGGGGCTAGGATGATTGTAAAAGAGCTTAGGTCATTTTCACCTTTCTGAGTCTTCCAGCCTAGCCATGTTTGTGTCAGAGATGAAAGCCAGGCGAGGAGAGGCTTTGACTGGGTGGAAGATAAGGAGAATTGCCTCCTCCTTAGGCCTTCCTGGTTCCACAGAGGAAAGTTAAGAATCCTAGAATTCTAAATAATGATAGCCAACATTCATTGGATACATGCATTAACCAAACTATTATAAGTACTTTACATGTATTATTTCAATTATTATAAAACAAGTCCATGAAGTCAGTATTCTTCTATCTGTATTTCACAGATGAACAAACTGAGACATTGAGGTTAAACCAACCTGCCCAGGGTAATGTAGGTAGTCAGGAGGAATTCAAGAAGTTTTCCAAGCTAAAAATAATTCACAGATGAAATGGTGTCCATGACCATTAAATGCTTCATTTCAAACTCTAAAAAAGACAACCAAGCTCGTCTTCTTCACTACTTATCTTCAGCATCTCAAACAGTGCTAGGCATAGATACATGTGTTGGAGGAACATAACTCTATGTTGGATGGAATCAGTTTATACCACACTGCTATGTAGCAGGCATTTATGGAATGCTTTGCTCCTGCCTCCTTCACTAGGTAGACATTCTTTCATCATCTCTAATCCCTGTGTCCTGCACAATTTTAACCCATGATGGGTGCTCAAAAATGAACAAAGCCTGGAAAGGCGTAAGTGATTCTGAGTCCATTTCTCCGTCACAGAACAACTTCCCCAGTAACACAAAATACTCCCCCCTACACAAAACACAAAAGCTGCTATTCAGAAACTCCAAAGGCATGCATTTCAGTGTAATTAACAAGCCAACTATTGTATAACACTATCTGCAAGTTGTTGTTCAAAGGACTTTCCATGTGTTAAGCAATTATTTAGTAATAGAACATCTATAGTAATTCTACGAAGCAAGTATTCTTTATTATCATCCCATTTTAAAGATTAGGAAGTCAAGTGTTATAGGCTTAATTGTATGCTGCAATCCTAAACCCAAATACCTCAGAATATAACTGTATTTGGAGATCAGTTCTTTACAGAGGTAATTAAGATTTTTTTAAAAAGCCATTAGAGTGTGTCCTAATCTAATATGACTCGTGTTCTTTAAAGAAGAGATTAGGACGGGGACACATATAGAGGGAAGACCATGTGAGGACATAGGGAGAAGAGAGCCAAGTACAAGCCAAGGAGAGAAACTTCAGAATGAAACTAACCATGCCAACACTTTGATCTTGGCTTTCCAGCCTCTAGAATGGCAAGGAAATAAAATTCTGTTGTTTAAGTCACACAGTCTGTGGACTTCGTTATGGCAGCCCCACCAAACTAATACACCAAGGCACAGAGTCACTTGCCTAAGGCTACATCGCCAGAAAACATGAACTCAGAATCTGAACCCACGGACTCTGGTTCTTGAGTGTATGTATTTCACGGTAATGGAAATGCTCTCTGTGTTGTCCAATACGGCTGCCAGTAGCCACATGAGCACATGATACGTGGCTCATGCAAATGAGGAGCTGAATTTTTCATTTAATTTACATTAAAATAAAATTAAAATTAAAACAACCCCATGTGGCTAGTGACTACCATATGGACATAGCTTTATACTATTTCTAAGTACATCACTTAAGATTTTTGCAGAATTTTCTAGAAATCTCATCTGTGCACTCTAAAAACGTGCTCTATCTTTGTTCCCTATCCCTGCTGTATTTGATTTTTTTGCAGTCCTTTCTGATTTAGCCCCTATAGCCTGGTCTCCTTTGAGGGAGAGACGGAACAGGAAGAGTGAGTGAGCTGGCTAACTTTCCAGAATCCTGGGGCCAGAGCAGTGCAGGGTCGTTGGCGTTCTGCTCTAAGCTTAGGTGTTAGCCAACCAAATGCCAAGCAGCACAAACACTGAGTGACATTTTCAGAACTATTAATATTTCATCAGAAATGATCACTTTTCCTTTAAATACACTATTTTAAAAGGTTTTCTACATTCTTAACTATAATTTTATTCAGTCTAGGCCCTCGGAATTTTTCCCTAAGGAACATGTCTTCAATTTTGTAATGAAAATCAAAGGGGAATGAAGCTTGGATTTCAAAATTTAGAGTCAACATTTCCAGGAACTCAGCCCCTCTGTAAAGAGCAAAGTTGTATATTGGGCACTTACTGTATACCAGGCGCTTTACATACAGTATTACCATCAATTCATCCAACACATATTTCTTGAGTGCCTACTGTGTGCTAGAAACGTGATCTTCTTAATTATTAACAGCATTTTACAGAAAAGGAATCCTTCTCATCCTTCAGCCTGGACCAGCATGGAATGTTGCCTTCCCCTCTTCTCCCCAATGTCTCACTTTAATATTAGGTTGGCGCAAAAGTAATTGTTTTTGCCATTGCAAGTGATGGCAAAAACCGCAATTACTTTTGCGCCAACCTAATAGTTATTTTCCATCAGAGCCCCATTGCCTCTGTAATTATTGCGGCTTTACTTGCTTGGCTAGTTTGCATCGATCTCTCCTCACTAGTAGACAGGCTAGTGGGAGCAGGGACCATGCCAGTTTTGCCCACCCTGAGGCTTCTTCAGTGCCCAGCAACTCATCAGGCACAGAGCAGGGGCTGTATCAGCACTGGCGGAATGATGAATGAGGACGGGAGAAGTTCAAAGTTGGTAGGGTCACATAGCTGGAATGTGAGTGTCAGGATTCAATCCAGCCCTGCATTTATAGACTGCCATCTTCCTCAATTTATGTCCATTCTTCTTTCTTCCTTCTCCACCCTCTTGCTCTTCCTCTTCAGGGGAATTACTGGAGAAACAACCCCCTGATGCCAGAGAGCCTCCCCCAGCGGAGGTACTGTGTCAGTGCCCAGTTGAATGAAGCTGCTTCCATGAGGGCAGGGGCCTGTTGATCAGCAGACAGCTGACTTAGCCCTTCTCCCCGAACCTCGGACATCCGACCCCTGCTCCCACCCACCTGCTGAAGCTGTTCGGTGGTCAAGGGCTAGATCAGGCCTAGAGTGCTGGGGTCTGAGCCTCCGCGTCCCACTTCTTAGTGGGACTTGGACACAATCCTTGAGGACGGAGACTTGCTTTCCTCACATGTAGAACTATAATAAAAAAGTACGACTAATTTCACGAGCTTTAATAGGATTGAATGTGAGCCCAGCGCTCACATTTTGGCACAGGGCAAGCGCTCCGTAAAATGGCAGTTAGGATTAAAATCAGGTGGTCGAGGATTGGGGAGGTGGGGGGCGCGGGGGGGGGACCCCAGGCCGGAGCTGAGGTTTGTGTGGCGCGGCGACGTGGGGAGGCGACGCGTTTGGCTTTGACTTCTGATCCCTGGAAGAGCCCTGGGGTCCCCGGGGCCCCACCCGCACCCACCCGACCGGCGGGTCTTGGGCTCCGAACCCGGAGCGCCCCGCGCACCGAGCCGTTGCGTTCGCGTTTGAAACCCACAGAAGGAATTCCGCCGCCCGACGGCGAAGGTGTGGGAACCACTGGCAAGCGACTTGGTGGGAGCCGCAGGGCCCAGCCTGCCCTGCCCAGTCAGCGCGCTCTTCAGCCGCCGGGCCCTTCGGGGTGCCCGCCCCGCAGCGCGGCGCCGCCGGGACAGGGGTCTGCCGTGGGCCGGGGCCGGAGGGCTGTGGGCCCATCCACACACGCCTCACCTCCTCTTTCCGGGGGCGGCCGAGCAGCAGCGGGAGAACTGAGGCAGGAGGGGCAGGTCGAGAGAAAAGCGGGAACTGGGCCGGGGGGCGGGGGGCCCGGCCGTTGGCGCCCGCTCGGCGCGGGGTTCCCTGGGAACGCCCAGGCCAGCGTCCGCTGCGGGGCCCCGCCCCCAGAGTGCCTAGCGCGGTCCCAGGCCCGCACCCGGCCCTCCGCGGCGCTCAGCGGGCAGGCATGGGCTGAGCCCGGGCGCCGCAAGGTGTCACGGCGGCGTCGCCAGGGGGCAGTGCCAGGGACTGCGGGGAGAGCCAGCCTCCCCCTCCAGCTGTTCCCAGATGTCATTCTGCCCGCCCGGGCGTCTGGTTCCTGATCTCCGGGGCATTCCACGGTTCCTAAGCTACTGGTTTTTGTTGACTTTTAAATATTTTCTTCTGAGGGAGACGGGGAGGGGGGCAAAAGTCAGGGAAGAGCGAGTAAAAACAAGTCAAGATAAGCCCCCCTCCCCAAAAGAAAGCTGTCCTCCACCCACCCCTCCCACACAAATCGAAGGCCTCTGAACCTAACCACCTTGCTGGAGCCACAGCCAGACGGAACTGACCCACTTCTGCCAAGCGCCACCCTCTTCTCCCTGTCTGGTGAATGAGGGGTGCTGGTGGATGTCTTCCAGCTCTGGGTGGACAGAGGGGCTTCCAGAAAGAGAGGAGAAGGATGGCCAGTGGGAATGGGCTTCTTTCGTCCTCGGCCCTGGTGGCCAAGCGTCCCTGCGCCCTGGGCCCATTCCCCAGATACATCTGGATCCACCAGGACACACCCCAAGACAGCCTAGACAAGACTTGCCATGAAATCTGGAAGAGAGTTCAAGGCCTGCCTGAGGCCTCAGAGCCCTGGAGCTCCATGGAGCAGCTCTCTGTCCCCATGGCTGGACCTATAGGAGACCATGAGCTCAGCTTCCAAGAAGAGTGAGTACTCCCCTACTCGGTTGGCAGCAAGGGAGAAGGGAGGAGATGATGTCTGACTTTCTGAGGGAATGTTCTGGCCCAGCGTTGAGGCTGGTGAAACCCTAAAGGCTGTCTGTTGCCCTCTCCATGGTCCTTTGTTCAAGCTTTGTAGAAGAGCTGACCAAGGTTCTGCAGTTACCTGGGTGAAGAGCCAGGTTAGGGCTCTATTCCAGGCTGCCTCTAAACAGCCCACTAAACAGACGTTTCTCATCCTAAAGGCATGTGAATCTGAGGTCCATGAAAAACCACCCTAGGCTAACGGTTATGTGGCTCATGGCTTCCTCAGAAGCAGCTAGAATATCTTTCCCCTCTCCCACCTAAAGGCAAGGCATTGACATGGATGAGTCTGATGGTTTTAAATCACATCTGGAATTCCCTAATACAGGGAGCAGCTGTCCCATTCAGCTTCCACAGAAGCTGCTGCAAGAGCACACATCAAAATATTTACTGGGAAGGCACTGACATATTCAGAGGACATAATAGAAAATTAAAGTGCGAGAAGATGGCTGTAAATAGCCTGTTTCCTGGATGGGAAATCCTGTGTCTGGGAAACACAGAGCTAAGTGTTTCTCCATGAGGGCAAAGTTGGGCAGATATTGTTGAGGATGGATATTTGAAAGGAGAGGAAGGAGTAGAGAGGAAAAGGGGACCTCATTAGGAAAAGAAAGTAAGTCTGCTGTGGTTATTAATACCACCATTGAGCACTTATTTCACGTTTTGCATCTTCAAAGTGGACTGTAAACTTAATTAATGCTCCCAGAGTCTCTATGAGGCATGTATTAGTGTCCCCATTTTACAGATGGATTAAGTGTTAATAATTAAGAGCTAATTAAAGACTAACCGATAATTAAGTGTTGCCTGCTCCAACACATGCTACAGCTCGGTTCAGAGATGCTCTGGAGTCGGGGAGCCATTCAGGCATTTATCAGCTGCCTCAGGTTTCAGGATGTCTGAGCAAGAGCTAAGAAGCAAAGCAAAGTGTAACTGACACCCAGCTCTGCACTACCTTCTGTCCCTCTGTGGGCTCCTTTACTTACTGCAGATGAAGGTGGAAGACACTTTGGCGAGTCCTGCCCCCACTGCCCTGTACTCAGCACGACATGACTTAGATGAGAATGGCCATTCTACAGCCCAAATCCTGCTGTCAGGCCCTTCCGTGGCACTGAGCCCTTCTCCTCTGCCCATTGCCATCTGCTCTGGGACAGGGCTTTGGCAGGAGGGCCCATGGGACTGTGCTCAGCTCTCAGTGGCCAAGTAGCTGATTGTCCACTTTGTGGATCAAGGGTCAGTAGCAATTTCCAGTAGATGGCACCCTCTTTGCCAGGTCACACTGAGTTAATGGAGACAGACTCAACTTCCAGTCTGCGCTTGGCTGAAAATTGAACTGGTGCACCTTTGGCCAGCTGCTTAACTCCATTTGGCCTTGATTTCCTCATCTGCAAATTGAGGATGATATGTGCTGCCTTGTCCACCTCAGAGTTGATAATGAGGATCCGATGTGATAGGAGACAGGGAAATGAAAGATGCATTATACAAATCAGGCTGCCCTTAACATGTACTTCCTCAGGTTGGGATTTGCTGCTGTTGTTGTTTGCTTCATTCTGGGGTTTCATGCTATGCTCCATATACCTCAGGGTGCTTCGGGGGTCACCGTGGAGTCAAGTGGGCTGGTTGCTGGGCCCCAAAATCCATTTCAGCCAGAGCTGTTTAGCTTTTATCAGTTTTACTTACTGGAGTTCTGAGTAGGGCTGAATTTGGAAAAAAATGTTTCTGCTATTGAGAAGAGAGATAGGAAACCACTGACTTAGATAAATTAACAATATCCTAATTGTCAACCAATTAGAACACAAGGAGCTAGTCTTTTTGTTGTTGTTGTTTCGGTTTTTGTTTTTTTTTTTCTTTCTTTTTCTTTTTTTATTTTTAAGAGACGGGGTCTCGCTGTGTTGCCCAGCAGTGCAGTGGCTATTCACAGGTGCGATCCCTCTACTGATCGGCACAGGAGTTTTGACCTGCTCTGTTTCTGACCTGGGCTGGTTCACCCCTCCTTAGGCAACCTGGTGGTCCTGCGCTCCCAGGAGGAAGGTAGTCTTAAGATAAAGGCAGTATGCTAGTGGAGTCAGATAACTCTGGTTTCAGATTCGTTTCAGCCTCATGCCATTTGAAGAATTTGTTGCTGTTTAATTTATCTGAATTTTGGTTTCCTCATCTGTCAAGTAGGGATTAATACTATGCATTTCGTAGGGTTGTTGGAATGATTAAACGTGATATTTAAACATTTATGGCAATAATTCAGATATGTAAAAATTACTTGCAATTGGGGTGTGATCACTTCTTTAAGCTCTACAATTATTGCATGAGGTAGGTAGTCTTTTAAACTTCCCACCTCTTTTTACTTTTTATTATGCAAATTTTCAAACACATAGAATAGTATGGTGAATACCTATATGTTTATCACTGAGTTTCAATAATTATCATATTGCGACATTCTGGTTTCAAGTGCTACCCCCACCCCCTCCATTTGTAAGTGAAATTCTTTGTACAGAGAACGTGACTGAGCTTCGGAGGGGTTAATTCTCTGCCCAAGATCCTACAGTTAGGAAGTAGTAGAGCTTCAGAAATGAAACCCAAGATCACCTTGGCCTTGAGGCAATAATGTTGGTTGTCTTCTCTTAGAATCTGAGGCATCTTTGAATAGGCAAAGTATTTGGAAGTCCCATGTTCTGAATGGTCACACAAAGAGTGAAAAGCCAGGGAGCTGTTCTTATTGTTTCTAGAATGCCTTCAGGTGCACAAGACACCTCTCAGTTAGTCTTTCCACTGCTTAATTTGTAGACCGATTTGGGTGATATTTTCTTGTATTGGGGTAGATAGGTAAGTGCATTCTAGAACTCTTTTTGGCCAGAATTTGTTTTTCTTGACTCGGTACCTATATGTCATAGGAACCCAGACATTTCAAATTTGACAGAGATTTTTGAAGCCATCTTCTGCTTCTTGTCCCTGCCAAGTAGTGCACTTGGACTATTTGGACAGTTTCTCAGATGGGGAGCTTACCACTTCCCTTTGCTGCCCCCTCCCTTGCTATGAACCCCCCTCAAAAGACCATTCACTTTCTATCACTGAAACACGTATCTATCAAACTAATTCCCATTGATCTGGATTCTGCCCTCAGTACTCCAAGCCAAATTTATCTCCCTTTAGATAGTGAAAGACAGCAATACAGCAACAACATTCCTCCCAAAATGTTTCTGTCTCTATAAGCTAAACACCTCTGGTTTTCTGAGTTTCTCCCCATGTGCCAACTTGGTCAGTTTTCTGTCCACACTGATGGTCCTTCTGGCAGTGTAACTTTGAAAATGAAGTACAGTAATCCAGGGGTGATCCAATCCTTGTAGATTTGATCCTCCCTGTCTACATCCTGGTTCCTGTTAATGACAGCCAATATCACACTCACTTTTCTCCCCAAGCCGACTTTCACTCTGTGGACACATTTTGCATTCATTCATTCATTCATTCAATTATTTATTCAACAAATATTTATTAAACATCTATATGCTAGAACTGTGTGAAAAACTAGGGGGATGGAGATGTGAACCCCATTAATTCCTGCCTTCCTAGAGCTCACATTCTAGTACAGGAGAGAAAAGAAGCTAGTAAACTCAAAAACTGCAATAACTTCAGAATGTGAAAACGATAGTTTTCCAGTTGGAGCAGACCCATAAGAAACAAATAAAAATAAACAAGATAATTTTGGTGACAGGCGTATTGATGAAAGATCACCTTGGCCCTGAGGCAACAATGTTGGGTGTCCTCTCTTAGAATCTGAGGCATCTTTGAATAGGTAAAATATTTGGGAGTCTTATGCTCTTAATGATCACCCACAGTGAAAAACCAGAGAGCAGAGTGAAGTGATAGGAAGACAGCAGTTTGGGAGGCTGAGGTGGGCAGAACGCTTGAGCCCAGGAGTTCGAGACCAGCCTGGGCAACGTGGCTAGACCTCATCTCTACAAAAAATACAAAAATTAGCTGGGCATGGTGGCACACACCTGCAGTTCTAGCTACTCGGGAGGCTGAGGCGGGAAGAACACTTGAGCCCAGGGAGGTCGAGGCTGCAATAAGCCAGGATTCCACTACTGTACTCCAGCCTGAGTGACAGAGTGAGACCCTGTCACAAAACAAAAACAAAAGGAAGAGCAAATGCAAAGACTGTGAGGTGGGAGTGAGCTTTGAGAGGGACCGTGAGACTGGAGAATAAGGAGGGATGGGACATGGCCATGGTATAGGTATGTCAGAGACAGGCAGGCAAGGCCTCAGGGGGCCTAGGGGGGAGTTCAGACTTTATTCCACATGTTAGGGAACACTTTTGCAGGTTTTTAGGAAGGGGTGTAACATGAACAGATTCACTAATGTTTGAATCTCTGTCCAGCTTCTGTATGGAGATGATGTGTAGGTATGTGGGAGAGGAAGTGGGAGACCTCTTGGAAGATACTGTCAGAGTCCAGGGGAGGCTGAATGGTGGCAGTGGCTGGGTCAGAATGACTACAGCAGAGATGGAAAAAGTGGAGGATTCAATGTGTGTTTTAAGAGGAGCCAATGGACCTGCTGGTGCTTTGGGCACACAAACAGAAACCTTGAGGCTCATGCTCTGTTTCATGCACTACGTAGTTCACTTGACAAATAAGAATGGGGGAGTGTATCAGTATCAATGTGACTGGGGTGTTGAGACCCAACACTCAGAAACTCAAGGCGGGTGAAATGTAGGGTCTCAGAGCAAAGGATTCCAACCTGTGGCCCATGGGGTCTCTGAAATCATTCCCCAAATGCTGAGAGTCATGAGGATGTCTTTCAGGCAAAAGGATGTACAGAAGCTTTCCTCAGATTTTCAAAGAGGTGTTGACCTCTCCAAGAGGAGAAAACACTAACAAATAGCATTAGACTCCAGAGATCTCCAGAGCTGCCTTCTA